TTGACACGTCTTTCTGAAACCCCTTATACGTACATGCCATGTAAAGATCAAGATTTACTTAATTAACATTTCAGATACTACCACGTCTGTTCAAGAAGACTACCGATAACGCTAAGAGATTGTAAAAAGTCGAATATCGAATAAAAGCTCATGCAGTTTCTAAAAATTATTGTTTTCGTTCCAGTATGGTAGTTTCCGAGTCACAGAACGACCAAAGATTACCAGAAAGATGACAGATACATGATACTTCGACTTTTTTGCAGTTCCAGTATATCCTCGCCTCGTCGCAAACTGGAACTGGAACCAAAATAAACTACTACGATATAGATGCGATAATATGCAGGCATGATTATTTGTAGCACTTTGCACTTTGTTTGCTATACCTCTCTCCGTACTTTTAACAAAATGAATGGCTTTCTAGAATATCTGCGCTTCACACATACAGGGTGTTCATTTGAAAACTTCCCACCACGGATTTATCGAGAACCACTGATTAAAAGAAAAAACGCCGAGAAACGTAAAAGACTTGTCAAGGAGGACAACTTTATAACTAAAAACTACTTCACCCCTTTCACCCTCTGTCCCCCAGGGCCATCCCCTTAAAAATTTTAAATGACAAGGGGTATATCGAGTAATAGCTTGTTTGACAGGTCTTTTACTATAAAAGCATGAGGATTTTCATTGCTCCAATACCTACAGTTATGCTTATTAATCCATTTAGATAAAATGTGCATTCATGACTGAACAGATATTCTTTACATGAATGGTGTTATCATTAATCGCTGCAGTCATTTGTTCACAAAACTCAACATGCCTATCGAAATCATCTTCGGTTAACTCTTGCAATATTTTCATTTTGAATGCATGTAATTTATGGAGTTTAGTAACTGTGTGTTCAGAGCCTAATGAAATACCAGTCGCAGCAACAATTTTGCGTAATGAATGAAGTATTAGAATTTAGTCCAAAATGGCCCAAAACTTCAACTTGAGCGGCTTCATGCAAAACTCTTCGATGATCACGTTTTTTATTTGCAACAGATCCAGTTTGAGTAAATTTAGTAACATGGTCCAAAACATCTATGCGAAGTTATCTCCCACGGATGTCAGGGGTTAAACGTGACGGCAGTTTGCCTAGCACATTGATTTTGGGCACCATGAATTAGAATCATTTCCACTCTTTCAGCTAGTGTGTAAACCCTTTTGGAAGTAAAATCTGAATCAATAAATTCATTTTCATTATCTCAAGATTGTCACAAAGGCAACTGGCAGAAAATTAAATTCTTTCTTTCCCTTAGCAACAAATAACTTAAAAAGGTATAACAATAAATACAGAAAACAAAATCGGGTTGTTATTTGGTTGTTGCCAAGTCTAATCTTCCGAATTGCTGTTTATGTTGGCAGTTTCTGTTTTAAATTATAAACGAATTGTAGATTTAGCAAATCCTAACGGGCAACGTTTTGAAGACTTATTGAAATAAAAGGTGATATCATCCTGTGTTTTTGTTTTCTATTTGAACAAATTAAGATAAAATTAGATTTTTCTAATTTTCTCGAAAACGGATCGACTGATTTTAAAAAATCAAATGTCAAAATAAAGGACTTCGAAAGATCTTTCAAACAAGCTATTACACGTCATTTGAAATATTACCCTGGGGGCGAGGATGAAAGAGGGTGAAGTAGTTTTTGGTTAAAAAGTTGCCCCCCTTGTCAGATCTTTTGAGTGTCTCGGCGTTTTTTCTTTTAATCAGTGGTTTTCGATAAATCCGTGGTGGGAATTTTTCAAATGTACACCCTGTATAGGCAGACTTCATCATAATGCGTACTAAAATGTGGAAGTAAGTTCAACCACAAATTCAAAACGAAAGTGAATTGGAATAATTTTTACGGACTGCTTATAAGGAATATAGAAGTCGGTTTTTATTTTTCACTCTCCAACGAAAGATAATTCCGATTGATCGCGTGAGTCCTTCCAATACATCAGCACAGCTATATTTCAATTTCATGTTTTATTATGGAAATTTATGGGAAGACTGCGGGAATCCTCCATGTATAGATGCAAAACTCTGCGATTTTTGTCTTTTGCGGGACGTTACACTTCATCGGAAGGGAGTTATGAAGTATTATTTGGTACTCAAATTTTCTGCATTGGTCACGAATGGAAACGACATTGTGGATTATGCAAATCATCTATACATGAAAAACCACACTTCCCTGACAGCTTGAGTTAAATGTGTACGAGAGAGAAGCGCGAGAAGTGTGTCGTCAACACATGTTAGAAAGAGAAGTGAATAAATGAATCATGAAATTAGAGGCATACCTGGCCACCATAAGGAACCAGTGCACAGGCCACTTAAACGGGCCCTTGTGCATATCTACATTCCTTAGACCTCAAGCATAACAAATTTAGAAAAGATGGGTATGGTCCAAGCTCGTTGACTTCCTGGAGATCCAAAGTAATGAACCCCAGTATAGTCTGCCTATAGTAGCTCAGAGCTTCTCAGCGACACAGAACGTGCGCCGAGGTCCTCTCCCCAGCAGCGCTCACACAAGAGATCCTCAGCCACCACCATCACGTGCAGGTGGCGCCTTAACGTGTTGTGCCCAGACGACATACCCACTAGCAACCTTAGGTTGGCTCTATCCAAAGATAAGCAAAAACGGCCATCTTTAGCGCTAGGCCCTACAATGAGTTGCCGTGCCTGACAAAGATGTCTGGAGATGCTGCTCCATTTGCGCGGGCACCCCTAAAGCTGGCTCAGGACCCAGGAGCTTCGGGGCTGATCCTGTCTTCGCCAGAGCGTCCGCTAGGCAATCCAGAGCCTCCTTGCATTACAATACAATGCTCGAAGTAATCTTACAAGTACTTAGTGCCTTCATTGCAGCCTGGCTATGGGAGAAGATTGTTATTCTTCTCCTAATCCCTCTTTCTATACGCACTTCCCTCTCGTACACATTGAACTCAAGCCGTCAGACAAAAGTGGTTTTCAGTGTAAAGGTCTTTGGATTTGGATGCTTGCAACTACTTTCATGATTAAAGTGAGAATGTATCCTGTGCCTAAATCACGAAGTGGATTCAACTTGCGACATCCACAACAAAAATTATCTCCTGTACTCAATAGAAATTTGCATCTAATTCGGCAGTGACATTATGTCGATTTTTCTTACATTATCTCGTTTTTTATGAGAGGATTTCCTACAAGACGTCAACTTGGAACTAGATGTCGTTCACTTCATGATCCTTGTAGCAAGCGCGGAATGAACGATGTGCACACTAGTCGACCTAGTCAACGAGTCAACATTTTATCGGTTTTTACATTACATAGGTTTCTTACATAGTAATCCTGTGGATGGTACATTTTCAAGACTTTGGACTTGATGGTTGAAGATGTACCGCCGCCGGATGGACTTTGGACACGCACCCAGATGTACTTATCACATTATCAGAATGACGAATGGCCAAAGTTGTACGTCCAACTTTCCACAGCGATGGAGAAATTGTGGTCCTTGGGTTGCTACACTTAACATATCTTTAAAGTTCATTTTGATACATAACATTTTGTACAGGGTGGCCAACTAAGAATGCGAGGAACTGTACCTGGGAACATATCCATCGTAGCGGCAAAAAAAGTTCTTACTGAAAAGACCAAGAGAAAAACGTGGAAAATATGTTCAAGTTTCTGAAATGGTCGCTAGGGGGAGTAACTGCAATCTTGAATCTAAAATAGTGACGTTTCTATGAATTCCACTATATTAACCTAACAAAATAATACCTGATCTGTAAATTCGAGGATAATCTGAACCTTTTTGGTTTGATAATTTTTCCAGTATCTCTGAAAATAAAGTTGTGGGGGGTATTCAAAGGTTTCCATAAAAAACACCCTGTATCTTCGAAACGGCTGAGCAGATTTCAACAAACTTCATAGAAACATCACTTTTTTAGATTCAAGATTGCAGTTACGCGCCCTAGTGGCCATTTCAGAAACTTGAAAATGTTTTCCAGGTTTTTCTCTTGGCCGTTTTAATAATTAATAACTGTTTATACCGCAAACCTCTGCGATAGATAGGTTTCCAGATACAGTACCTCGCATTCTTGGTTGGCAACGCTTTACAGCTTGAAATTGCCAAAAGTATTTCAATGGTGAGCCAAGTGTAGACTGTGACACAACTACCCGCACGCTTAAGTATTCAAATATATTTTCTGACAAGGCAAATATACAAATACTCTTTCAGGGGACTTCGAAGCTACACTAGAATAGTTATGGACCAGGAGCCATTAAAAAATGGTTTCTAAAATATTAGGTATACAGAAATTGTTATAATCACGTAAACTTGCCTAGTTTCAGAATGTTCGTGCTCCTAAGTTATCACAAAACTGAATTTTCCTGGAAAATACTATTTTTTACTACAAACGTTCAAGAATAATGATCAGAACCTTGGAAAACAGGCAAAAGCGTAATTTGGGGATGTTGACATTATGGTAAGCATTGTATCAAAATCAGTATCGCCAACAACAATAGACTGACGGGAATGTGTATCATGGTTTTTCTTGTTTATCTCAAATTCGAAATTTTGTGCGATTACAATACTTTAATAAATTTAAATAAGTAGATACTAATAAATAAGTTATATTTGGGCATGCTCTGTATGACAGACATATCATACCGTAGTACAACTCTGACAACAGATCAATGAAATCCGTCTTGGGGTGTCAAGGTCATTTGTACTATGACAAACATTAAGTTAAAGATTGTAATCATTTACTATTTACTTGTTCTACATCCAAATCACAATTTTGTGGTGGAAGTATAATTATTCTGAAACTGTTTCAACTATACTCATTTTAAAAATTTTTATTCATATTTCTATAGAAATATTAAGTAAACACCTGACGTTTCATATAGAAACTGAATGAATATGATTTTGAGATTTATGAACAAGCAATCTAAAATAAGCAGAAAATGGATTCATTCCACTTATACCCTACTGGAGATTTGCATTACCTTGTTTCCGAATTTCCACGTTTTAAACATCCCCGATTGGTCCACATAACATCACATTGCGTCATTCCGGCAGCTCATGGCTCACTTAGATTCACCCGAATTGAACGTTCACTAACACGAATGACTGTGGGTAAAGGGATTTTCAGTCCGAAATGAGAAAATTGCAGTTAAACGAAACGTGTGGGGTTGGAATCTAGTCGGCAATGGAAATAGGACAACTCCGGTCGCAGGCGGCATGGACGGAATATGGCGATGTTGCCATATTGGCATGGGATGATTTATGCATGTTTGATGTTGAAAGTTAGTAAAAAAATTAGACAAAAATAACTCTGAAAGTTAATATAGGCATGGATTCTGAAGATATTCAGGGTGTTGAAGTCATCATTTCAAAATCCAATAAAAACTAGGTATATCTCCGAAGTGACTGAGTGACAAAAAAGAAAAGATCAAGAGCATGAGAAGAAGCAAAACAGCAAACTGTGCTAATCAAATAGAAGCTTTCAATACTTTATTGTCGATTCGTGTTTTCAGATATTTTATATAATTCTGTCCCAGAACCTCAATTACCATTTAGGAATGTTATCCCGGCACATTACAGAAGCAATAGAGCTGATCGGTGACGGTTGTAACAAAAATTACATTTATACCTTTTTTTTTAGCCGTAATGGTACGCCCTAGGTTAATTATTATTTTTCTATAAATGCGATATAATCTTTTGAATGGACTGATATTTTCAAAGTTGTTACAAAATTTAAGTTTCTTTTCCTAAAAATTTAGAGACACGTCAGTGCAGAGTGTTACAATAGACACCCAGACGGTGGCAGTTGTAACAGGGCAAGGTATCGATTGTAAGGCACATACACAGTGAGGACCAGATCACTGCGAATATAAGTCATTCAAACTTGAACCTATTGTGAATCTCCTGGGCACCTCATCTTTTATTAACTTTTAATTTTTCAAAACTGAACAAACAAAAAAGGATTATTTACAATGTGCACATTGTCTTCATTCAAATAACAAAATTGTTATTGCATTTCAAACAAACTATACAGGAAGTACGTTCAAAATGACATATACGGACAAAACGACACATTAGTGATATTTAAAAAACTGCGCGGTATAAAGTGTCAAAAGTTAGCCAATCAAGAAGCACCTACACCGGAAATATACCATTGGACTTTTGAGAGCCCTTTAAAATACAGAACGGACGCCATGTTGACATTTTTGTTTCGAGGTTGTAAAGAAATTTGTTAGTGGTCATTTGTTTTTTTGTTTTTCGGTAAGTTTTCTTTTGTTATTTTACTGTCCTATAATTTTATATTTCGAAGCATTTTTTGTTTGAGGTGATCGCGTAGAATTTAAACCGTTATTGTCACTGCAACAAGACTATTCTTCGAATCGTAATATTTTTTGAGGCTATGTACAAAATGACATACAACCACTATGGACAAAACGACAAAATTTAAGTAAATCTACGTAAATCTTTTTAATTTACAGAATGGCAATATGCCCCGAAATTATAAGACAATCATGGAGCCAAGAAGCGATGAAAAAAGCTATTGAAGCTGTTAAAGAGAAAACATTTCCTCTTGAAATTGAGAGACAATTGGTTGAGCGCATCAAGCTACTTGAAACTGGCATGTTTGGATTAACGCGTACATTGGTCCAAGAACTCGCTTCCGAATTGGCTGAAAAGAATGGCTTTTCACACAGTTTTAATAAAGATAAGGATAAAGCTTGCCTGGAGTGGCTAGATGGATTTTTAAAACGCCATAAAGACATATCTTTACGAAAACCGGAGCCTACCTCCGCAGCTAGAGCCCAAGCTTTTAATAGACCTCAAGTAAGAAAGTTTTTCGTTAACTATCAAGAATACATAGACAAACACAAATTAAACGCAAACCGGATCTACAATGTGGACGAATCGGGGCTGTCTACTGTACAAAGACCTCGAAAGATCCTGGCTACCGCTGGCAGGAAGCAAGTAGGTGCCATTACAAGAGCGGAGCGGGGATCTAATGTGACAGTTGTGTGTTGCATGAACGCAGCTGGGTCGTATGTACCTCCTTTCATGATTTTCGCAAGGAAAAATATGAAAAACGAGCTCGTGGATGAAGCACCAACTGGTACGGTAGGAGTAGCTCAAGAAAGCGGGTCGATGACCACTGAAATTTTCGTGAAGTGGCTCCAGCATTGCCAGCCATAAATTATTCGAAGCTTTGAACTTTGCCAACGAGAATAGAATCGAAATTGTTTGTCTTCCTCCACACTGCACCCATCGTATGCAGCCTCTCGAGAGATTTCTGTCTGGCTTAGAAATCATCCAGGAAGAGTGGTGACAGCTCTTCAGATCGGATATTTATTTAATCAAGCTTATGGAAAGACTGTTTCAGTTCAAAATGAATGCAATGGTTTCAAAAACACTGGACTATGGCCAGTTAATCCAGAAATATTTCCAGATCACTTTTTTGAACCAGCTGAAACAACAAATATGCCAATAGCTTCCACAGCTGATAACTCAGACTCAATCCAGGATCAGAACCTTCCATCGTTGCCAATAGAACCGGAGGCTGGCGAGATTATGGCCCAGGAACAGAATAAGGCCCCTGAATCTTCATCAAAGCCATCAACTAGTTCTTGTATACCATCTACTTCATCGGATTCTTCAGACGCAATAGCAGTCACTAATGATATTCATAACACACTGACTGGCCCGTTAGATATTTCCCAACCATCCACAAGTTCCTTTGCATCGACAAGATCTTTAGCTGTTCCAGTTATTGTCATTTCTCCAGTTCCCAGTAGTAAATTTGTAAGTGGACAAGGTAAACGAAAGCCAAAGAAACGAACAACAACATTCCTACTTACGTCATCACCAAATATGGCAGAATTAAAGTACAAACGAGAGATTGCAGCTGAAAAACCAACTCGCAAAAGGAAACAAGCAGTTACTAAGTCTCTTTACATTGATGATGACTCAGATGAAGAGCGCTCTGATCAAGAAGACGAAGAAGATGATTGTATCTGTATTTACTGCAACGATCTCTACTCACGTTCAAAGCCTGGTGAGGGGTGGTTGAGTTGCAGGCGGTACAGTCGTTGGGTTCACGCAGCCTGTGCTGATTTGCCAAAGCGTACCAAAAAATTTGTTTGCGAATTGTGCAATTAATTTTTATTTTTATCTCTTATTTTATCATTTTTGTTATGTTGATGGCTGTGTACGTCGTTTTGTCCATACGGTATGGACAAAACCGACTTTTCTTGATCTTCATTTAATACTAAATATTTTTGTAGGTCTTGATTTTTCTGACAAAATCTATATGATTCCTGTTAACCAATTAATATAAGCACAGTTGTAAGAAAAAAATATGTCCCTATTATGAATAATATTAAAGTTATTGATGATTAATAAAACGATATGTCATTTTGGACGTACTTCCCCTACTACTACAGTAGAAAACTGCTTAAAAACTAGTCACAATAGTCCCACAGTCGCAATTGGGGAGGATTCGTTGCACATTTGAAAAGTGTTAATTCTCTAATAACAAATGATCATTATATTTTACACAAACTATAATACTACAGTAGAAAATTACTTATAAGCTAACCGGAACAGTCAGAGTCCGCAGAATCGCAATTCTGACAAACAAAAAGAGGATTATTCTTTGCACATTTGGAATGTGCCCACTCTACATTGTCTACATTGTAACCAATTTTCACAGCTACCTTTGTATGAACCAAAACAGACTTTTTCTTCAGATGATGAGGATTTACTATTTGTGGTCCTTCGCAGCACCATTTTATCTTGCAGGTTCTTGTCCCAGGAGTTTCTTCTTGATAGATTTTGTATTTTTGTTTGCAAGTTGTTTTATTAGCACCTTTTCGGGAGTGTCGGTGAGTATGGAAGTGTTTCCCTTTCGTGTCCCAACACTTTTGGGTTTAGTAAGGTCTGCCTTCAGTAAAGGTCTTATTGGTAAAGTAGTAAATTTTTGCTCAGTAGGTAGTGAAAAATGTTCTTTAGATTTTGAGGAAAAGACTGGTTCATAACTTTTGATAATGAAAGGGTTGACGAGGCGGAGGTTATTGAGCGCTGATTTCCATTTGGCTCTTCAGGATGATAATCAGTGTGATCGTTGGTATTATTATCTTCTAGAGACCTATAGGTTACAGTGCTAGTACTTCTCCACTAAATGGCCAAATTTCCGAACATGTAAAGCAAGATTTTTTCACTGGTGTCGGTTGTAACATGTTACAATCTCCACCGATGCTTATGTTACAGTATATACCAATGGACACGTTTTATTCGAGAACAAATTACCCTAACTTGGAAATTTGATAATGGTGGATAAATAAAATCTTACTTTTTATTACAAAAACAATATTTTGTACCGGCTCAAGTGCAGATGACTAGCATTCGCAAACTACTGACCGTCCTTGTGGCGAACGAAGCTATGTTTTTGTTGTGTACAGGTTGTTCGCGCTCAGCTTCATAGATGGCGGCAGTAGGTCGAATGTTACAACCGACACCTATTATAACCATCACCGATCTCCCCTTACTATGATTTAGTATGTTAGTGCTAGGTACAGAGGAAAGTACCATAACATAAACTTTAGTGTACACTACGTCATTCTGCAAATATATAAGCACAATCATTAGCTAATTACATGTACGAATTTATAGCGTATAAAATATTGAGTAATGATTTCCGGTATAACCAAGTTCCTTTTATGTGAATGAGTCTGTCATACTCTTTCGAAAATTAAGACAGACAATCATAAGGAATAGAATTGTTCCAAAAGATTCCTTATAGATGGCCTATTTACAAAACCATATTTTTCCATTTGATCCGCAGATCACAACCTACAATCCAGATCAACAATTAGAAAGCGTTTTCGTAAAACTGCATCAAACATTTCAGTATGCATATAACGTAAGTACACTTCTTGGTGAAAAGAAAAAACACAGGAAAACTTTGCGATATTTGAAACAAGGACTGCTTTGCACCACCTTAGTTGTTCAGTGTCCAGCCTCAGAACTATTCAGTGCTACCACATCAAATTGTCAAACGGAAAGTCGCGAGACTAAAAATGTCGGTAGATCCACAAAATAAAAGTTAGATTGGTCGTATAATACTCAATTTCGACTCTTTTAATTGAATTGAAAAATAAATGTTATTAGGTCCAACTACTAAAAATAACAAATATATGTGTGTTAATACATTATT